AACATGGGAATAGCTTAATGCACCCCTGCAATTGGTTGTTGGGTTAGGTTCTGGATAGGGATTTTGTTTCTTACTTTGGGGATTTGACCTGATTTTGGGTTTGGTTTTGTGTTAGGTTCTAGGTTGACTTTTAACTTTAGTGTTTGACAATCAAATTTGCGTTAGGTTTGCGGGTACAATCCGTTGGATTTTAATTTTTAGGTCAGAATCTAGGTCGTGTTTTGAGTTAAGGCAATTGCGTTTTGCTGTCTTGTTTTTTGTTTTGGTTCTAAATACTATCAAATTGTTGTGGTTCTAAATACTATCAACCTCAGATTTCTAGATTCTAGGCGTTGCGTATCAGATGTGCAAATTTCCTGGTATGATTGAAACGTCTTCTCTGATTCCTCGTCTTGTATTTATGGATCCTTCCCTTAATAATCCCCTGCCAATTATTTCAGCATGTACGTTGGGCTATTTATATTCGATTTTGGGAGATGGGATGAGACACCATCTCCAAGATTCCTCCTAGGTATAATCTTATGAGTTCTTTGGCTTGTTCTTCTCTTTGATGTTTGTTTCTATTACTGAAAGAAGGGTCATTTTTCACCTACAGGTAGGGCTGAACCTGCAACAGTTTAAAATTATTCTTCAGGTATTTTAAATTCCATGTATTCAAGAGTGCTCAAATTCAGATGTGTATTCTGCTCACATTACTTCCTTTGAACATTCTGCATAATAACTTGCAAGGTTTTGACTATAAAGAATACATTTTTTAGCAGTTTTTAAATTATGACCTATTTTTACGTCTTTGCAATCCTGTTTGAAACTGAAAAATGAGAGGTGTGCCATGTGATTTTTTAAATTTCAAGGCTATAAAGTAAGGAGTGAGTGTTGGACTCTGGTAGAGGTTAGGAGTGAGTGTTGGACTCTTGAAATCCATTATGCAAATGGGTTAGAATGGTTGGGTATACACAATTCTTTTCCCACGTTTCCTGAACCTAAAACAAGATAACTTACAATTTAACATCAATTTTTCAAAGTTGGGAGATTTAAAGTATTCTATGTTTCTAATGGATTTGAATTGTTTTGTTTTTTTAGACTTGGATATAATGACCATATCACATTTAAAAATATTCAACCAGCATGTTTAGAGATGTGAAAAAAAATACAGTAGCAATTTCAAACTGCTCTTTAGAATGTATAAAGTTCCAAGTTGTAAATTTTAAACTCTAAAGCATCTAAAGAATAGGACAATCTGGTTTATTCAAATATGAGAGCTGTACCATTTGATTTTTCAAATTTCAAGGCTATAAATTAAGGAGTGAGTGATGGACTCTTGAAGTCCATTATGCAAATGGGTTACGGGTTGGGTGTACACAATTCTTTTCCCAGATTTCGCAGTGAATGTATTTCCACGGACTCATTGTTTTATCATTAGTTTTTTATTAAATTGCTAATACTAAAACTGACAGAGTGTGCATACCTTTTATAAGAGTCTCATCCATATTCAGACCAATTAAATAACATGCCAACGTTAGGCTTCAATTCATCTTCACATTCAGGGGGTACGTCCCTCCAATGTGCTCATTGCATAACTTACATTTCTTGATTCTGTTGCCAAATCAATCCCAAAAACTGCTTAGTATTCTGTCCGATGTGCTACAGATTTTTGGACTCAAAATCTGGCCAGAATTCTTCCCTGGGCTACAAAAACTTTGCACAAACATCCATAAAGGTTTGCTCAGTCCCTCTAGTTGGTGTAAAGTTCAACCTTAAACTGCCCAAAATAAGACCCGAAATCCAAACCAAGAAACAAAATCGCAACCCAAACCCTAACGCAGAA